CTGGCTATGAGATGTCTGTCAGTCCCCATGGCTCAGGAGCTGATGCCAGTAGTGAGAATAGCCTCATTTTCCGGGACTTTGCTAGGTCCCAGAAATTGAGGATTTCTGGCTCGTGGTACCAGCGCCCGGACCCACATCGTTGGACATGGTACAGCGGTGCGGGTAATGCAGCCAAGGAGATCGACCACATACTCGTTAGCACTCGTTGGAGGATCCTCCAGAATTGCAGGGTGTATAGGAGTGCTGAGTTCTGTGGTACTGACCATAGATTGGTTGTGGCTACCCTCCGGGTCCACTTCAAAACTCCCCAGCGGTCAAATGATCACCCTAGGGTGTTTCATTTGGACAGGCTGCGGGGGGGGGGGGGGAGTGTGCCCGCGGGTTTGCTGAGGCAATCTCTGGTCGTTTCACAATGCTCGACAGTCTGACGACCCTGTCTTCCTGTGGGATACCTTTAAGCGTGAAACGCTTGATGCAACTCAAGATACGATTGGTGTACTCCCGAGAGCAATACAGAATTCCATCTCGCAGGAGACACTGGAAGCCACAGATGCTTGTCATGCGGCTCGTCTGACAGGGGATCGGGAATTGCACCGTTCTCTTGTGCGCAGAACTCGGTCTCTGTTAAGAAGGGACAAGGAACAGTTTATTAGGAGTCTTGCAGAGGAGGTAGAAGGCCATTTCTTAGTAAATGACCTTCGCCCTGCATACCAAGCCCTGAGAAAGCTGAACTCCAAGCCCTCTTCACAGGTGACAGCAGTTCGCTTAGTAAGTGGTCAGATCGCTTCAGATCCTGTTGCAGTGCGGGAACGCTGGGCTGAGTATTTTGAGCAGTTGTACCAGGTTGACCCACCAACAGTTAACTTCTTCCAGAGTCGGCCGTCTTTCTTGCATGAGGCGAGGCTGGAACAGAGAGAGAGAGAGAGAGAGAGAGAGAGAGAGAGAGAGAGAGAGAGAGAGAGAGAGAGAGAGAGAGAGAGATCCAGTTAGAATGGTGTCAAGGTCTATACAAGTACTTATATAGACCTTGAAAGGGGTGATGTGAAGCCCGGAAGTTTTCGGTCGTGTCTCCCTCAAAAAAAAAAAAAAAAAAAAAAAAAAAAAAAAAAAATCGCGCTGGCCTTTCTGTTGTGTGAGAGAAGTCCGTATGGTGGGTCCTGAGGTTGAGCGGGGTGGGTCTGGTACCTGTATTTCACTGGAGAAAAGGGGAGGTCCGCCCCCTTCGTTGAATTTAGCTAAATTGGTACAGTTCCTAAAGGGATGGAATTTGGTTGTTAAGTTGCGAGTCCTTGCTAACAACCCTGACTAGTTTCCTAGTTCTGTTTTGTAGTTTGTTTTTTTATATTCATTCTCTAATATATAGCCCTGTGCAGGATGGTACCTTCATGATAATGGTATTGATATAGGTTGTGGTCTGTGGAATTTCTCTTTGCTTTGTTTAGTTTTTTTCTTAAGGTTTCTCGACAGTTAACTCAATATAAAGCTTGATGAATATCCTTATTTATCCATGCGTAAAGGGTTGTCCATGTTAATGAAGATATGTTTTGAAACGGCATATGAATGGGCACTTTTATCGCTCACAAAAAACTTGATGTAAATGACTATTCAAAAATATTACGCGAACAGAAGAGACACTTAAATCCACACTTATTTTCATATTATCCGAGAACTGGTCTACACACTTGTCTAATGACAGGCGATAAACAAACGGTTATTTTGTTTGTTTCCTTCTTTTCATAAGCTTTCGGGCAACACATGAATTGATTAAATCCATCTTTAATATTTCGTCAAACTTTCTCCTCTAAGAGATGACAAGCAGCTCCTCACTTAGGTGTGTTATTTGGCCCTAAATTGCCCTTTCCCGTAAAGCCGTTTTCCCCTGCAGGAAATGCTCCATCATTATGGTTAGAATTAAGCAGAATTGAGTCGTGCCTGGGCTAATATGCGAGTTAACGAAGTTTCCTCGAGAAACTTCCTCTCCTCCATTATTTCCTCCATCATTTCTCTCCCTCCCTCCCTTCTTTCCTCTATCATTTCTCTCCCTCCTCTCTCTCTCTCTCTCTCTCTCTCTCTCTCTCTCTCTCTCTCTCTCTCTCTCTCTCTCTCTCTCTCTCTCTCTCTCTCTCTCTCTCTCCCTCCCTCCCTCTCTCTCTCTCCCTCTCCCTCTCCCTCTCCTCTCCCTCTACTCCCTCTTCCCTCCCCTCTCCACTCCCACTCCCACTCCCCTCTCCCTCTCCCACTCCCTCTCCCTCTCTCTCCCTCTCCCTCTCCCTCTCCTCCTCTCCCCTCTCCCTCTCCCTTTCCTTCTCCCTCTCCCTCTCCCCTCCCTCTCCCTCTCCCTCTCCCTCTCCCTCTCCCTCTCCCTCTCCCTCTCCCTCCCTTCCCCTCTCTCCCTCTCCTCTCTCCCTCCCCTCTCTCTATCTTCCTCTTTCGCTCTTCGAGAAAAAAATGGTTTCCGCAAACGCAGAGATAAAAGACCAAGTGTCGTTATGCATTAGACAACTTTGAAAGAATTGTCGATAGAAGTTACCACGTTGAGTACTTGCATCGAAGATTTATGAAGTGAAACGGATTTTTAGTCATTCTGTTTTCTCGGAAATTGGCTCTGCGCTTCCGTCTCATTCTTGCAGAAACGAAATCAATTGGGAAAGACCATAGAAATGAACCTTGGTTATATAGGAGAGTATTAAATGATCTCGAGGTAATGTTGAAGGTGTGGTCGTTTGTAAATATCCCGATGCAGTATCTTGGTACGGTGTGTGTGTGTGTGTGTGTGTGTGTGCTGTGTGTGTGTGTGTGTGTGTGTGTGTGCGTGTGTGTGCGTGTGCGTGTGCGTGCGTGTGCTGTGCGTGTGTGTGTGTGCGTGTGCGTGTGTGCGTCTGTGCGTGTGCGTGTGCGTGTGCTTTCTTTCTCGCTTGCTTGCGTGTGTGCGTGTTCTCGCTGCACGTGCGTGTGCGTATCGCGTCCATACATGCGTGCTATTTGGGGGGAAAATATGAGATGCTATTCTTTGCAGAGAGAGGGAGGAGGGAGAGGGAGAGGGAGAGAGAGGGGAAAAGGAGAAAAGGCCTTTGAAGGAGAGGAGGAGGAAGTTAAAAGGAAAGGAAATTAGGAAGATATTATTTTAAGCAATGGTAATATTAATATGTAAAATGCAAGTAATAGACACGAAAGAGGGTGGAATGAAAGAACAAAATAAGAAAGAAGAGAGACACAGACAGACAGACAGACAGAGACAGACAGACAGACAGACAGACAGACAGACAGACAGACAAACAGACAAACAGAGAGAGAGAGACAGAGAGAGAGAGAGAGAGAGAGAGAGACACATAGAGACACATAGAGACACATAGAGACACATAGAGACACATAGAACACATAGGTACATAGGTACATATGAAGAAAAGGGGTGAAGATGAAAATAAAAAAGATTGGGAGAGGAAAGATTAATGTTAACAATTGTGCAAAGGACTGTTTGATGCAATTGATAAATGAATCTTGTTATACACATTTATAGTTGTAGGTTACAGGGCCACTACTAACTTTATAATGATATAAAGTAAATATGGAATTATATTTACTTTTACAGGTATTACCAAGTTACTGATGCTGCACTTCTCGTAAAAATAACTGCTGCTCTTCATAGTCCAGTCATAGCATCACTTGGATATTTAATTGAGTTACTTAAAAAAGCAAAGGGCATATTTGCTGGTACACTCAGTATAAATGTAATTGGTAATTATGTTGGTATTTTAGGGATATTGGTGTGTTGAAGATGAAATCCTGAAGGGTTTTTCAGACTATTGTCTCGTCTTCAAATAGATTTTCTATGTGTATTGAGGGCTTTTCCGCCATTATGTAGCTTTTATTATCAATGATTATGAGGCTGAGTGGGAAGAAATCATTCCATGTTCCTGTATATAATATGGGGATAAAGCATTTTTTTCCCAGCTAATTATTAATCTGTCTGTCTATCAATCTGTCTGTCTGTCTACCTATTAAACTATTAGATATTAATAAGTTTGTTTATTTCCAGTTGTTCCAGAGATGTTTAACGAAAGTGCTCAACATAGACCTTTGGCGACTGTATGTTACGTACGTGAAAGAGACAAAATCCAGCTTACCCACATACAGGTAAATTAAACTGAATCGGCAAACAGTTGTAAATAAAAATTTCTCACAAATAACTTCTCACTATTTATGAGTGTTTTACTTTGAAGAAATTGGCCTCAACATGAGGAATAGGAATGTGCAGATAGATATGAGTGATTAATGCAAGTGTTTGATTAAAACAATTGCTATTGCACTAAGTGTTTATTTCTTGTTTCCAGGGAGAAGTTGTCTCAGGCGTATGAATTTGCCACTGATAAGATCGGAATGGACTACAATTCCTATACTCTGTGGAATGACTATGCAAATCTGCTGAAGAATGTCGAGGTTGTAGGTTCCTATGCAGAAAACCAGAAGATTATGGCAGTCAGAAAGGTGCGTTGCATTTAAGTGTCTTTCCCTGTCTCCCTTCCTCTTTTTTTCTCTCTCGTCTTATGCCGTTTGCCTCTCTCTTATCTTTTCTCTTCCCCTCTCTTTTTTTCTCTTTCTCTCAGTTTTACCCTTCCTCCTCCTCCTTCTCCTCCTTCTTCTCCATCTTCTCCTTTATCTTCTCATCTTCTTCTTCTTCCTTTCTTCCACCTCCTCATCCTCATCCTTCTCCTCCTCTTCCTCATTCTCTTTCTCATCCTTCTTTTTCTCCTCCTCCTCCTCATTCTCTTCCCCTCTCTTCTTCCTCTTTCCTCCTCTTCTCCTCTTTCTCCTTCCTCTTCCTCTTCCTCCTCTTTCTCCTCCTCTCCTCCTCCTCCTCTTCCTCTCTCCTCCTCCTCCTCCTCCTCCTCCTCCTCCACTCCTCCTCCTCCTCCTCCTCCTCCTCCTCCTCCTCCTCCTCTCCTCCTCCTTCCTCCTCCTCCTCCTCCTCCTCCTCCTCCTCCCTCCTCTCCCCTCCCCTCCTCCTCCTCCTCCTCCTCCCCTCCCCCTCCTATCAGCCCCCTCCCTATTTCACCTTTATAGTTACTCTTATATATTAGTTTTCTTCTTACAATGAGTATTACTGTTTTAAAATGCTTAAAATGCATATTTGGAACACAGGTGTACCAAAGAGGCATTGTGACCCCAATGGCCAACATCGAGCAGCTATGGAAAGATTACCTGGACTTTGAGAAGAACATAAATCCCATTATTGCCGAGAAGATGAACATTGAGCGAGGAAGGGACTACATGAATGCAAGAAGAGTCGGAAAGGAGTTGGAGACCGAGACGAGAGGTCTGAACCGTCATCTGCCAAGTGTGCCCCCTTCAGGTCTACCCGAAGAAACAAAACAGGTGATGAATGGGATATGTTGGTTGTATTTTGTGCCGAAATTTAGTAAATTTGGTTCTTAGATATGTAAAGAATGGAATATAAACATTTATATTTAGTAATGGGAGAAATCTAATTATTTAAATTGTTTTAGTAAGAACAGAGGAACGTGACCATTGTTGAGAAAGTTAGAAATAGCAACGATAGATAATGTAAAATAAGACCAATTGTATAAAAGTATTTCTGATGAAATGATTAATGCTTACCCATACCTTTCACAATTATATTAACATGTGTTATGCTGCTGATTAAAGTACAGATGCTAGAATTGTAATTTAATCAGGATTTTTGTGTAATTTGAGTGATTATGATATAGATTACCTGAATAAACACAATACTGGTGAATTTTTATATTAAGTAAATGATAAGAGAGTAAGATTTATAGTTAGGAAATGTGTTTATATTGTTTTTGGGGAGATCAGAAATATACCATGAATCTTTTATTTTTTAGATATAGTCTTATTTTATGCTAAATCAGCAGATATTATAATTTTAGTTGTGATATAAGTTTTGTTCAAAGGGCTGTATCTTTTTTACAGGTTGAAATCTGGAAGCGATATATTAGATGGGAGAAAGACAACCCTTTGAGAACGGATGACCAGACGTTGGTTACTAAACGTGTGAGATTTGCATACGAGCAGTGCCTCCTCTGCCTCTCCTATCATCCAGATATTTGGTACGAAGCGGCACTCTTCTTGCAAGAATCCTCCAAACTCCTATCAGAAAAAGGGGTGAGTGACTTTGTGTGTTTTTTTTTAGTATAGATCACGTTTTCTAAATCTTAGTATACCATCAAAGTACCTGAGAGTAAAGTCAAGAAGTTTAAAGTGTTGATAGTCATTATTATTATTATTATTAGTAGTAGTATTAATTTCTTTTTATGATGTTAATGATGTTTGTTAATACTACCTACCTCCCCAGGATGTGAACGCCAGCAAAATCTTCAGTGAGGAAGCAGCTCAAATCTATGAACGTGCTATCTCTGGACCTCTGAGAAAGAACCAGCTCTTGTACTTTGCCTATGCAGATTTTGAGGAATCCCGCCTGAGATACCAAGAAGTGCATAAAATTTATCAGCGGTACATAGAAATGGAGGATATTGATCCAACACTGGTAAGTTCGGCAGAATCATTGGTGGTGGAAAAGGTATGAGTGAAATTATGTGATTCCACAGAGCATGGTAAGTTCCTGTAACAGTTATAACTATAGCAATGTCACATCCTTTTCTAATGGGTTCTTTCTCCCTTTTTCCTTTTAGACAATGATAATCTATGTGTCAGAAATAATAATATGAGAATATTAATTTTATTCTTGGTTTGATAATAACAATAGAACATTTGGTATAAGTATATATGTATGTATTTCCCATGAAGGGAATGTGTTAAGTCTGCTTTTACGGTTCGGAAAAACAACACTGGAAGCTGATTACTTTTTCCCTGTTTTTACTACCTAATTTTTTTTTTTTTTTTCTTACCTCTCGCAGGCTTACCTTCAGTATATGAAATTTGCTCGACGGGCAGAAGGAATAAATCCACAAGAGAGAGAAGTTCTGCAATGAGGAAGCGAAGCATTTTCGTGAGTCCACGTCTCTCTGCGTCTTTCGTGAGGAACCTCTGAGGTACGTCCTGGGATCGGATACAAAAATTCCACATCTACGTGGTTCTTGCTCTATGGTAATATACTACTGCCACCAAAGAATCAAAGACCCATTTGCTTCTTGTAGGGATACTTTACACTGCGGGACCTCAAGAAGGTTCCTGACGAGTGCCCGGATAATGCAACTCACCAAAATTATGGCCATATGTTTGACTATTCATACCCAATATAATTGAATGTAATGCGAGAATAAAAATTTGTTTGAGTTCAGTGAAAGGGTCCCAGACCTTGGGGTAGGAATTAATAATGATGGAGTATTCATTTGGATATGAACCCATTTAGTAGAACGCATAAAAAAATCAAATAAATTTATATATAGACACTAGATATACAATAATTAATGTAAGAATTAAAAAATCAGGTATACATGCAATACCTTAATCTTGAAAAAGGTCTATCCTAAAGTGTATGAACTCCAATGTTTATAGTCATTAACCAGCACACCCAAAGTTGTATATTGGAGTTTTCTTGATATTGTTCACGAAAAAATCACAATAAGTTACAATAAAAAAATGATGCCAACCTTGAAAATTTGTACAAAAACAACAGCATAGCAGCATCTCATTCCGAGATGGCGGAATAATAATTTACATATAACTATGATTGCAGATATTAATTTTAAAATATGTATTACTCCTTCCACTATTGAATTAACTCTTGGATTATAGAGTATATTATTAACAATTCATTCTCCTCCCTTCAGCAAGTATTGACCTCTTTCTATGACAACGATTCTAAGTTTTATTATGTTATAATCTAAATACCCAGAATAAATCCATATTTCATATTAATACTACCAATTATATTATGTTTTATATACTTTGTTGATTTGCAATCCAATTAAGTAATTTTCTATCATTACCCTTATATGTTTATTATTTTACTGATATTAGTATCATAGAGTACAGATAATATACTCGTAAGGTCCTTATATTCACTCTTATCTTACTAAGGTAAAACTTCCAGACAGAAACAAACACAAGAGTTATGTTGAAAGGGAGAGAATGAAACTACTACAGGGACAGCGAAACAAACCCTCCGGGACACTTCGGTGCTGTTAGCATGAACCGAAATTTCCTGGAATTGAGTGCAATGTTGGAGATCTTGCAGAAAAATCGATGTCAGGTTGAGAAGAGAAAGAGCTGACAGTTTGCAGAAGTAAGTCCCCCTGTGAACCCAACCAGTAAATAATATGAGCCAGAAACTGCATATCGTGTCTTTTGTTTATTTGTCATCCTGTTGACTTATATTTATGGAACTTGTAGCTCTATATGTACATGCAGTGTTGTTCAGATTGGTTCAGCCTTCAATGTTTGTTGATATTTATCTACACAACAGAGAGGTGATTGATCTTAGTTTTTATTGCTTTGTAAATAAGATTATTATAAATATATATATATATACCCTTATAAACCTATGCTCTGTTATGAGGTATAATAATCATCAATAATATTCAACTATTATATAATACATCGTTTTTATCCTAACTATATATATGTCACTGACAAATATGATTTATTTATCTCCGAACTTACCCTAAGATGTTTAGGTATATAATCAAATATATAATTATACCTATCAATTTCATATAAAATGTTATAAATATGCCTGATACTATGTATAATTAATATTTTTATATGCTATACTTTTATCCTATATGTTATATATTCATCTTAGGGTCACGGGAATTCCATCTTACAATAAATATTACTTGTCAATATAGTATATAGTATATACAATAATAATAGTGTTATAACAATGAGGCTGGTTCTTTACTCAGATAGGTTACCTATATATAATATAATTATGTATGCGAATATTATAAAGCTTACGTATCCTAATATGATTTGAATGACTTTAGCTCCTCAAACTGAGAAATTATTTATTAGTATGTTAGTCATAGTTATTCGACTCCTATGTAGATTAGGTATGTATTAGTAACTATAAATAATAGTGTAAGTAATTTTATAAAATATATACTATATGATATAATGCAATTATCAAATTATAATAAATCATAGTATTATCATAATATATAAAAAATAATACTTATAACTACTACAAATAATATATAATATATATATGACTATATACTAACACTATTAAAACTTCCTTGACTTATTATTATACATCTACAGTTATAAACTATATTGTTATGGTAGGTAATGTTTAAGTATATATGTATATTGTATAAGAATTATTAGGATAAATAGAAATATAAATACAGTGATTCTTAATTTAATCATTAAATAAAAATAAACACACTAAAGTCATATCATATACTATCACCCTACTACTATTTGTTATTGCTGTATGATATGAGGAGTGAGTTATATTAGTATTAATGTATATTATATACTTGCAAAAGAAGATATAATAAGTATGTACCGCTTCGTAACCAAAATTACGGAATAATTTAAGGATGATTAGTAGGAGGGGCTATGTATAGTATATCATGTATGGTATATATATAATATATTATATGTATGTATATATATATATATATAATATAACATATATATAATATAATATTATTTATATATATATATATATATATATATGTATTATATATTATGTATGTATTAATATATATATATATATATGTATAATATAATTGTATAGTAGTATAGTAGTATGCTAATATATATATATATTTATAATATATATAATATACTATGATTAATAATGTAATATATATCATATGTAATATAATAAAATGATTATAGCAATGAATGATGTAATGTATATAGGTGACTAGATATTGGTCTACTGTAGTATAAAATATTATGTGACATAATATAAAAATATATTTAAATTTTACATACCATAGTGTATTTATATATAATATGTATTAATAGTTAAAATATACGCAAAGCTGATTATATTATAGTATGTGTATCATCTTTTACTTACAGAAATAAAGTGGGTGGGCTTTCCCATATCTGTTATATTAATGTATATATTATATAAATCTGTAAAGGCTTCCTAAGATAATATTATAATGTGTCACTGATAACCTAGCAATATATAGATATGAGTAGATAAATGCCTACTATTGAAACAATCTAAATAAATATTTAAATCAATGCAAAACTATTATAAAAACTATATATTAAAAATAAATATCTTAGCTTAGAATTTATTATAATATCATTATGATAGCAAATATATAAAAATTAATAGACTATATGGTAATTAAACATAATAATAAAAAAATTATTTAATAATAAATGTATGAATTATATATGCTAATGTGTGTATATTATTTTATCTGAAATATTCTATACCCCAAAGGTATAAAAATAATAGCTATTAAAAACACATTTATTACCTCGTGTATTTATTAATATTATATATGTAACTATAAAAGAATATATTACTGTTTACTCATCTTATATTATATATTCAAGTTTGAACTATAATAATAATAAATTTACACTGATATGCTATAAGTTAATTGAGTGGTGATGTTTAATTCATATGTATGATTAATTATAGTATTTCATTATATATATATGCATAATCACACTATCAATAAATTATTAAATACACTAAAATAATAAATATATGTGCCTAATTTGAAAATTTAACATAAAATTCTACGCATCACTGTTAACCCTTTAATATATCAGACAGCAATATTAATATAAAATAACATTATTATAAATTGTATGATAAAATTTGTATAGAATAAGGATTAATGTGAGTATATATATATATATGTAGGTATAGGCATATTAAATTATTATATATATCAATGATGATATATTAACTTTATATTATATTTATGTAGCTAATTTGGTCTATAAATTATTTTCTACTAATATATACTTATATATCGGTTATTCATATATTTCTAAACTTTCTTCAAATACAAATATATAATTGGTCACTTCCCTACTGTTACTTACTTTATAAAAATATCCATTTAAAATTATATAAGATTTAAGTAAAGTTTATTATTGTTCTATCCCATATTTAAACTAATAATTAATATTATAACTAAATGTATATATTTTATATATATTCCTAATAATTCTTTACAATATTAAGAACCACAAATTTAAACTATATATATAATAGAAGTATTGAATATTTCGGCCACAAAGTAGAATACAAACAAACATAATATCACATATATAGTAATTGTACATATATACTAACTATATATCTTTGTATTTTGATTATTATATATTATACTTCGGGTTTATATATATGATGTTATATAAGGCCTACGAAGGTAGGTGCAACAACTTGGCATAGATGACCCGGTTCATCGTTATCCTCTTATACTGTACTTGCATATTCATCTACTAAAAACTTCATTTATCCGAACTTTCCTTTAGATTCTATTCAATGTCTAAGTTATATATCTATCGGTTTTACCTTCGTACTCTATATAATAATGTTAGTGTATCGATTATCTACTATACTATGTAGCAAATTAAATTGGTATAGAAATTTTATAAGTTTACTTTCTATTTCAAAATATAAATATAGTCCTAAAATATATGTAGTTTATTATATTCATTTATCCATAGCTGCTTCACACCGATGTATTTAGGACCATATAATTTTATGGTAGAGGTATACGTATACACCAATATTATGCCTTATATACTTTATTAGTACAATGTATCCCATGTGTTTTTTAATATAATAGCCTCACATGTAAATGCCATTATAAATATCCGATAGATTTAAATAGCCATTTAAACAGTAAATAGTTCTATCTATATGTAATTGTGTTAAGAAGAAAAATAATATTATTAATTAATAAAGAAGTTAAATAACTTAATTATGGAATAAAATAGGTGATATATAAAAATAGGGTAAAGTATATATGGGTATGGCCCTGTAATTATAAGGATATAGGAGAGATGTATGTTAGTAGTTAATATAGTATATGTGATGGTGTATAATATATATGAGTATATTATATAGTAAGTATATATATATATGTATGTAGATAGTAGTGTAGTTATAGGTATAATGTGAAAGTTATAGAATATGTATGTTACATATATATATATTGGTAGATAGTATATGAGTATATAAAGATATATGCCAGTGTTAATATATATATTAATGTATATTATATATTATTATTAGTATATGTAGATATCTATAATATATAGTATGTAATAATATATATATAGGTATATATATATAGTAATAAATATGAATATATATGTAATGTTACATAGTATATAATATGTATGATATGGGAGGAGTATAGGTATATAATAAATATATATATATGTAATATATAATATATGGTATATTGATAATATAGATGATTGTAGTATATATAATAATATAGTATGTATATATATTATTATATTTATATGTAATTATATATATTATATAATATAATAATATAAATATGTATGTGATGTAGTATATATGATGTTAGATAAGATAGTATAAGTATATATATTAATGGTATGTATGTAGAAGGTAATAGGGGTATATAGTATAAGGAGAGTAATTGGAAATAGTATATAGGTATTATATATTGTACTTGGAGTATAAGTGAAAGGAGTATATAATAAAATAGTATTATATGATATAGTATGATATGTATGTATTAGGTGGTATATATTATTGTATTGGATGTATTATAATATATATGGTAAATGTGGTAGTAATAGGTAAGATATATGTAGATATAAGTATATATATATATGTAATGAGATATAGAGAAGTAGGGAGAGTATATATATTATAATATAAGTATAGTTGTATAGTATATATATAGAAGTATATATATAAGATACGTAGTATTATTATTTTAGCCAATTCTCTTGATTGCAGTCTTCTTCAGTACATGCATTTATGAATATTTTATTTCATAGCTGCAAGAGTTTGAGGGCAAGGACACAGCAACAGCTAGTTGATCGTTACAAGTTCAATGGACCTGTCTTACCCTTCACACCACCTGAACTGAAGTAAGTCTTTTTTTGTTTCATTGGTCAAATGTTGATATTTTATGCGGTTGGATTTGTTCCAAGTTGCTGATTTGTATTGTGTATTTGCTATAAATGAAATGTATTATAAGATATGATTTTTTTTGTGATTGCAAGGGTAAGCCTTAACAGTGTGGAGTTTATGAAATAAATGGCATAAAATGTAGGATTTGATAGCCTTTCTCACCTCAGATTTTCCTTCCAGAGCCATTGGTTACCGTGACATCTCGACCCACAACATGATCATCAACCCAAATGTTCCCCGAGGATTGTCAATTCACGACTCTCAGGAGCCGACCTATGCAAGACCCGACTTCTCTCAGATGATCCCCTTCAAACCCAAGGCCAAATATATCCCTGGAGAACACCCAGTCAAAGGTGCTGTATTTGCCTTTCTTTTTGATTGGTTTTCAGGAGTTGGGAATTGCATTGCCGTTAGCATCCGTTCTGGTACTGATTATGAACTAAGCGTTATTTATTTATTTTTTGGAGTTATTAATCATTGTTTTGCTTTTTTTGCAAGCTAGTAGGTGACAAGACAATCACTAGTGACTCCATGTATAATAATTTATTTTAAAACTTTTAAACAGAGTTTCATAGTCACTTATTTTGAAGTAATAATTCTTTTGTCTTTTCATCCTGGTATTGTAATAGACAGCGAATTTCTATTGATAATCGAATTCATTGATAATGGATATCTTGCTTCAGTGTAGATCTTGTAAGTATTTCTAATTTTGTTTAATTCCCTCAGAAATCATATAGAGTTTAGAAAAGTCTGTATGCCTTTTTTAATTTTACATTCTCGTCTTAGTAGTGTTCAAGAAAGCAACTTTTACAATGCTTCTTAATATTTCATCAAATCACACTGAACATTATCCTGTGATAGGTGGTGCTTTCCCCCCACCTCCTGCTGTTGCCAATCTGCTGTCCATGCTGCCGCCACCTCATTGCTTCCGAGGCCCCTTTGTCAAGCTCGATGCTTTGGTTGACCTCTTCATGAGACTGAACCTTCCTGAACAAGGTAAGATTTATTGGAATATATATATGAATATATGTACATAGATACATTCACACACACACTTGAATAAGTTTGCTGATGTCCTTTATAAGATAAGATCATGAGATTCATAAAAGCAGGACAGTATAATGTGCTGAGAATTTCTCCATTTATTATTTTATTTTACATTTTCAAATGGTGTCATTTCCAGGGGGTCAATGGTCAACTACTGGAAGCCATGATGTCAGACTGTTGTTGAAACTCTCCAAGTCCGTGCACTGGGTAGTTGACCCAGTGGAGACCGAAGAGGAGAAACTGTCTCCTGGTGACGATTCAGATGATGAAGAACGGGAATAAACCCATTAAGAATTGAACAAGTATAGTTACAGAGCCAGACAACAGAAAAGAATGAAGTAAGAAATAAAGGATGTAATGTAATGAGGTGAAAGTACACCCATTTGCTTTCGAAGTGCACGATGTTTGTTAAGATGCAAAAAATAAGTTTTATACTTAATTTTAATTATTATTATGATTATTATTATTCATCTTGAATAATCATCATATGGACTAGAAACATATGCACAATTCGCGAGACTTCAGGCGAAAAGAGAAAACCAACTGGAAAATGATCAAAAATAGTGAGTTTGAAATTGATTCGGTAAGATGTTATGTCCTTGTGCTGTTTTGAGCCTATTAACAAGCTGTTTTAATTCCCACAAATGAAGAATGGATCTGTTAAAAAGAAGAATCAGCATTGCATATTTATTTTATGAAGCGAATAATACTAGTTATGGAGTTCTGTAGAATGAGTTGTAACAATGTTTGCCATTGAAGGTATATTATTCATATCAAAAGACTTATGACGTTTGTTGGTAGAGAAGAGATATGAAAATAGCCATCGAGCGGTGTGTATTGGATTCTTGGTATTGGTTGCTGAGAGATTCCAACATAAAAACATAGTAAGTGTATAATAAAAACAGAACAAGGAAAGATGGAGGCTAATTAGGAAATAAAGTGTACTTAGAATTGACGCATATACACATGTAGGTATAGTCAGATTTTTAAAATAGTATTTAGAAAGTTGTAGAAATAAATCTGGTTTTATTCATTAAGTAATTCACTCAACAAGACAATGTAAAATAATGGAGGGGGGGAAGAGTCAGATCGAGGAGAGGAAGTGTGGATCGGAACTCTAGAATATTTTATTTTAAGGTAAATAGGTATAAAGATCTCGGGAATTAACTCTTGAAAGAACTTCAAAAAGGTTAATATAAGCTAAGATGTATGAAGATGAAGTAAAGGTGGTACGAAGAGTGACAATAAAGACCAATACTGTTAATCTGGCGTTATATAAATATCTAAGAAACAACAAGTAAGTATAGTTAGAGAACATTATTAATGTGAATTGCACTTGCAAAATGAAGACATGAAATGGCAATATAATATAATAATTTTATGTGTGCACAAGAGAATCATAACTGGAAAATGTGTGGGTAAGATCCGTAATTACTTATAAATTCAACAATGAAAAAGAAATACCAAGATGGACAGGTGTAGATGCAGGTTAAGGTACAATTGAAGTCGTTGAGAGTCACGCATTGTTACCCTTGTGCTTAAAAGAGAAAAGAAAGTGAAACAAACCGTATTTCTAAATGTATAAGAAGATGATTTTTTTATCAGCAAAATACCTATACGTGAAAGTTCTCAAGATAATTTATAAAATCTAATTGTAGCGAGAAAGTGTGAGAGGCGAATTCAATATAACTGCATAATACAGGATAAGAAAAGATAATTGCTATGAGAGAACAGGGAAAAACACTTAAAAAATGCAAACGCAAACACCTTTTTCTAAGATGAACACCAGCCCATATGGTTCTTTCTGGTTGTATTCTTTGCAAATTGGGTATTAAAATGAGGAGAGGAACCCGGGAATAAACAACTAGTGAAAGCATTGTTCATTTCTGAATACTATATTTTGGTCGTTGTATCAATAGCAAAAGTAAAAACTCTATCTCTATGGAACCTGATCATTAGTTCAGACATTGGACCAATCACCTCACAAGAAACAGTATTTGATTTAACTAGATCCACATTCCTGTATTGTTACACACCAGATAGGAGGTTATAAAGCAGCAACAACATTCCAAATCCGAATTCTTAGATACACAGTTTTAATATATTGCGAGACACTAAATAAAGCGATATTCTTACCGCCCTTGTATTATTTGCTGCAAGGAACTTTCACTAGAGGTGTATGCTCTGTCTCTAAGCGGGCTACGAACATGAAAACCAAAAAGAAACAGTATCAAAAGATAATTACTAAACAAGGACCACACACTGTAGTAACATATTGTATAATTGAAATGCTAAATGAGTTATCGTGCGAAATTTGAGGACAAAATAATCTTCTTTTAGCATCCAGAATATTTTACTCTTTGTCAAAAGATTTCTTAAGAAATATCCACTGATATTTGACAAAATTCAGATCCTTATTACTTATTCAAATTTCTTGGACACCCCGAATATTGACTTGTCAATTCCACCATATTTGAACTTTTCACTGCTAACTAGTATATAATCTACGAAGCGAGGTCTCATTATATCCTTGAAGTCACACTATAATAAAGTGCGAAAAAATATGTTACTTAATAGTATCATTTTTACTACCTATGTAAATGTTCAACTATCCAAATTTAGTAGAAGGAAGTGAGAAGTAGTAGTGATTTAATTGAGGTTGGAGAAAATAGATGGAAATACCATTTTAATTATTTACAATATCGATGTTTTCCAGTGAATATGATGTTGCTTTCACAGCCAGTTAAATGCACACAAAACAGTGTGTAAAATTCTAACCTGATGAGTTTGAGCAGTAGTGATCACGGCTAAAGTACATGGTCTATGGGAGTATTTGAGTTCTATCTTATTTCGATAGCTGTATATCCGCTCAATATCTCAATCAATAGACACGCCTCGCATTCCTTGATTACAGTACACACTTTGAGCTTACAGTATAGTGAACCCTCCTAGTCGTGTCACTCCCAAAGACACCTTCGTCTTCTAGATAGCTTTGCTAGTGATTTAAATAATTGGCAGAAACTCAGATCTTTTGCTTGTCATGATGGAAATAATATTGATAAAATATTATTGCAAATACCTGGTTGAAAAACAATTTAACCTGACAACAAGGGTAGATCTCTATACTAATGTAAACAATGATCCGTATCCAAATTTGCGTATATTTAAATATTGATTTGCTATAGTAAGATAAGAAAAAAATCGTTATCATTTAAGGTAGTACATAGAACGACAACAGACAAAATTATCAACATTATTATACAAGACAGACGAATAAAATTCCACCAAAGACTCAAAATATTTTGCATTAAAGCTCCCGTGTTGATTAAAGTAAGAAATTATGGGCCACTTAAATAAGAAAAAATTTGATCCCTTCTTGTAAAAAATATTTATAACTAGACCAAACACCAAAATGCGATGTAGAGATGAATTTTCCTATCTTATTCCTGTTTCTCCCTTATATCCTCATTTAGTAAGTATCATTGTATTTATCATAACACCACACTTTTTCTCTTTTTTCTTCCTTTCCTTCTTGTCATTCTTGTTTGAAATGAAGAAACTAACAGGGATGTATTATTAAGTTAAATCAGATCCACACGAGTAATCAACCTAAATCTCTTAGCAATGGTATGATCAGTAAACCCAAAGTCGTGCCGAGTAGTAACACACATAAATTAATACCACCAGACCTCCCCTCTCCCTGAGAGTTCTCAATGGGTAACCTCGGCAGATGATTATATGAACGAACAAAAATAAAGAGATTACTTATGTATTAAAAAGACTCGAATTGTTTCTTGTCTTTTCCGCTGTCCTAATAATATTTACATTACATAATTCTGTTTCGTTCCATTATTTCTTCATGTCTAATTGCTAACCCTGAGTCCCTCCTGATGCCTACCTTTAACACACTAGTGAGAAAAACGTTAATAAAGAAATAATTTATCTCAATTTCTTGATTTGTAAATTTATCCATACGGTTTTTAGGTATTCACCCACAAAATACATATGTGTTTTTACAAAGAAACTTTTAGGATGTAACAACATGGCATATTTACTTATTGAAAAAAATAATTAACTTGAAGTGATTACAAGATTGATTTTATTACAGGATGTAGATCTTAACCTGTCAAGCATAGACCTTTGGCGATCCAGTGTAAATTATAACATTTCTACGCATCATTATTCTAGATAATTATGTTTGCTTATTAGTTAGACAATTATATGATAATATCTATGACCTGCATATATACAGTATAATTGCCGTAATAAGAGTAATGTTTGAATTATAATTCAACTGTGACATAGCCATCACATCATCCAATTTAGAAGTTATAGTAAACTATGTTAGAGATATTTATTGTGTCAAAAAACAAATTGGAAATTTTAAAGAATGTTAAAGACGAATATAGTATATTAGAAATGTGTTTGTTTCGAAGGATAATTAAGTATGTTAAGCATATTCAGATAGAGGTTGATGTAAGTGATTTATATAGAAGTATATAAGAGGGAGAAACAAAATGATAGTATCAACCAAAGAGACTATTTACAACAATACGTAATAGTGGTCTAAATAGGTGGTTTGTTTAGTCCCAAGAAGTTGAGTGAGTAGTTCAGCCGTTCAAGGCTCCCTGCGGTTGACTAGGGAGAATATGTGCCAAAAATCTAGGACCAGATTTATTAATAAAAGGCAATGGCTATCCGACAATAGTACCGCACTTACTATTTCTTCCAAATTTCATTGTTAGTAAAATATCACGTTATCTTATATTATTATTGGGTACAAAAAATATTAGACGTAAGATTTGCAGGTGCATGTTACAGGCATGATGTATAGGACTAAATTAAACTTCTGACGTCCCACCGAAGTTTCTAAGGTCAACTTCGGAATTCCAGAATGATATTTCACAGCCCACATCTGCAAAAGAATCAATTACCGAAACTCTATTAAG